ATAACGAATACTGGCAACACTAAATAGCCGAAAATATCGCAGTTTTTCGAGTTTTTTTAAAAAATGAGTTCGGTGACCCCAACTTTTTTTTTAATAAATCAGTTACGTTAGTGTCGAGAAACATTTCTGGGAAGTTTAAAAAAAATCTGTCGACTCAATTCTTTAGAATTAAATTTCGACTTTTTTGACAGTTTCTGTCGACAATTTTTTTTTATTTTTCCATCATGAAATCTTGAAGCATGTATCTACTCATGTACAAATTTTCAGGGTACCTTACCGAACTCGTTTTTGAAATAATCACGGTTTTATTCCGCGCGGCCAAAGTTTTTCACACTCTGCAAGATCAATGAATTGACATGCGCGTACATGTTTTCGCAGGCGCATCTCCAGAAAAACACGCACAAAAAAGTTTTTAGTCTCGTCGAAATATCAAATATATATTGTGTTTTCTTGCTTAGAAATGCAAATATATTTGGTTTTTCATGCTAACTCGGGTAACGCCAAGAAAACAGGTGATTGTCGGTCGTTTGGTATAAGATATGTGTGACATGTATAAACTTTTTGGCTTTTCTACATAGTTTTATATTCGTTTTCAGTCGTAACTTGTGTGTTTTCATCGAGGGGCAATTCACTCCAAAAATCCCGTACACTTCGTCAAAAAATCCGGAAAAAATCCAGAAAAAATCCATGAAATCCTCAAAATCCGTTGAATCCATCAAAATCCAAAAAATCCTTCAAAAATCCACAGAAATCCTTCAAAAATCCACAGAAATCCTTCAAAATCCTTAAAAAATCCGCAAATCCACAAAAAATATGTGAAGTACTTGGTGTAATTTACTCGTAAAGGTTCTTTGCCACGTTAAAAATGGCGGACAGCGAAAGCTAAACGCTTACCGTGATCGCTGTCATTATATTTCGTAATTATTGGACCACTCTACATTTCCATTTATACGCTCGAGTATACGCTAAGTTTTTTTAGCCTATTACTACTAAATATGTGTTCTTGTTACAATGACGTTATGTTGTAAAATATAATTACAAAACGTCAAAAGTTATTCACCATTGTCTTTTACTGTTTTTGAAAGAATAATGAACTTGTTTGAATTTTAAACAAAATGACTGCATGCCCAGCCTTCGTTAGTTTCAGAAGGCTGTGGTCCTAGTCCCAGTCCTCTGCTCGACCCTGACGTCCTGGCATAACGTTGACATCGTACAACTTAAGATTATTTGTTCAAAACGTTACCTAGCTCTATAACTCTATAATTAAAAAAAATCCAGAAAAAATCCGAACAAATCCGGAAAATCCAAACAAATCCGGAAAATCCAACAGATTTTCAAAAATCCAGAAAAAATCCGAACAAATCCGGAAAATCCGAACAAATCCGGAAAATCCAACAGATTTTCTCTTCAAAAATCCGCTAAAAAATCCGGGGAAAATCCGCTAAATCCGCTAAAAAATCCGCGGATTTTTAAAAATCCGAAAATCCCGTACGCTTTTTTGGAGTGAAATGCCCCTCGGTTTTCATGTTGTTGTTGACAAGTTAAAACAGTTTGAACCGGCGCACGATGCTGTTTCACTGAATTCCTTTGCTGTTAGTAACACTTTGAATACATTTACCAGTTGTAAGTACAAAAAAACTCTGGATATGAACTTATAAATCGCCAAATATTGGAGTAAAAACTTTTCGCCGGTCCGGGGCCGATCGCCAGTTTTCACAAGAGTTTGAAAGTTGAACATTGCATTTTTTTACCTTAAAATGTCTTCTAAAAAGACTAGTTATTCAATGTTCAGAGCTAAATCAGGACGAAGTTTGTTCTTTGAGAACAAATGAGAACAAGGAAGACTCAAAACATCAAAATAAACATGACTTGTGGTTCGGATTTTATACCGAAAAAGTTGTATTTATTTTTGCATATATTTTTAACATTTTCGCGCGAGAACTGAAGATTAGGTACCAGTCCCCCAATGATGAAAAGTGTATGGAGCCACCTTAAGCTCTTTGATTAAAGCATCGTTGTTTTGAGAGTTATACGGTATCATTCTTGCAGGGGATATCGATTAATCGTGAAAGAAATACATTAAAAGCCAAAAATCGAGGATAGTTTCGGGTGACATATGCCAAGTCTGGGCTATTTTGGTCTCAATGTTTCCGTCCTTCCCTCATTATAAGGAAGGCACAGGCGGTCGCGGGCAAATCGAGCCTGGGCCTCTTGTGACTGCGCACCTCCACCCCCGGTTTCCCGCAATCAGCCCCGCTCGAACTTGCCCGTAACTATGACGTCACTTCCGGTTTATAAAAATCACGTGACCCCCACAAGCCCCCCACCACCCCCGCCTTGAGAGTGCTTCCAGAAGTCTCGCCTAAGCCTTCCCTAAGTCTTACCTAAGCCTACCCTAAGTCTCGCCAAAGTCTTACCAAAGCCTACCCAAAGCCTACCCAAAGCCTACCCTAAACCTTCCCCCAAAACCCTCCACACCCCGCATGCGCGCACCCCCCGCCTTGGGAAGTCTTCAATAAGTCTTCCATTATGTATGTTTTGGATCACGTGACCTATGACGTCACTTCAGGTTAAATAATCATTCCTAAAAAATTTTTTTTTAAATTTGTTTTCTATATAATAAAAGGGGTAGCATTTTCCCCAGTGTTTCGGAGATGTTGGACTTGGACTTGAAGCCGACATGTTTGCATTGTTGTTCCAAAGTTTATGGGTCTGGAAAACTGAACTAACTTCTGAGTTATACCGGAGGTAAAAAAAAAATTTTTTAAAAAGTTTACTATATAATAAAAAAGATGTCCATTACCAAAGTCTCAGACTTCTCCAAAGACTCGTTCGCTTTCGAAGATGCCGTCGGAAACAGTTACGGGTCCGAAAAGGTTAAATTAACGGCACGAGATCAAGGTCCACTTCTACTGAAACTTGAGGACTGTTTGTCCTATGGGGTAAGCAAGAACAGCAAGTTCGGTAAGGACAATTACTCCATCTCCTTAGCCCTGAGGGATAAAAAGGAGTTTGTGTCAGCCCTGGAATTGGTGGAAAGGGAGTCCGCGGATCACGTTGGTAATCCGGGTGAGAACATCATGAAATGTCTTTACCGGAAGGGTTGCGCTCCAACTCTATACGTAAAGATTGACAACGAAACAGAAATTTACCCTCCAAAAGGGGACGAACCCGTAGACCACAAGAAATATCAGGACAAGAGGTTCCGTCTTGATGCTGTCATCAAAATCGAGAGCATCTATGTGTCCAGAAGTGTAACCTCCATCCAGGTGAAGCTGCATGAGGCAAACATACTGGAGGAAAAACCAAAAGAACCGAGGAAGAGGCTTTTACAACGACGGGATTAATCCGATACAGAAGCCTAAGACAACAAAAATCAATTTCAATGTTTGTAAGAACATTAAAATTTAAAGAGCATCAACACCGCTGACGGGTAAACTGTTTCGTACTCAACAGGCATAACCGATCGGTCCTTCCACCGTATTCTAAACAGATTCCCCATACCATAAGAGCGAGCACGTAAGGACGGTATGGAAAACACCCACGACTCTGCGAAATCGTCGGGCCGTCCCAAATTGATACCGAACTCAGAACTGTCAAACGTGAGATTGTCTATCTCTCCAAGTGTCACATCCTCCGGTACGGTTAGAAAAACGACAACACCTATCGGCGGACCGAAAGGCATAGCGTTCACACCCATAATCATAGCACCCGTTTCTTCCACGAGCCAGAACCTAGTGTCTACCTCCCTATCAGCCCCTTCGTCCATGAAGGTAATGCCGGCATCCTCGAATTCCGTGTCCTCACACATTTCCGAAATGAACTCCGTCATTTCTTCGGAACATTCGAAGTACAATTGGACTTTCCTGTAGGTACCCATTACTTTTATTTTATATAAAAAAGTTTATTCTATAGACTGTTGACCTTTATTCTTCCTTTTCCGAACAACCTGCTCTTGTGCTGATGACGTGTTTTCCAACGGTAATTCCACCATTTAGTATTCCGATGAGTGGGATGTACGGTGTTACGTAACCGACGAGGTTTTTTATGTCTTTTCTAAGCAGATCGTTTTCCTCAAGTTCTTTTTTCATCCCTTCGGCATCCTTAACAGCGTCTAGCGCTTGCATGAGTTCGGAAAACTTAGTAATGATAACGTCGGTCAGTTGGTTGTTTGTGTTCTCCAGACGTTGTCTTTCGTAGTCTTTGTATATATTTTCCAACGTTTTTTCGGATGCTTTTTTGATATATTTTGAGGTGTACTTAATTTCGCCTGCATCAACCAGCTTTAGTAGCTTTTCCCTCAGGTCGCTTGCAACAGGTGTCTCAGGCTCTACAGATTCGAATATGGTTTCCATTCCTCTATTTAATATGCGAAATAATTGTTTCATGGGTATAGGGTCGGCGTAATAGTATTTCCAGTCTGGCGTAGTCGTTGTTTTTTAGCGTATTAATGATTTCCTTGCTTTCCTCCTTTTCCGTGTTTGCAAGGTAGTCGTTCAATATGACGTCCATATCCTTTGCGCTCGGGTTGTAAAAGGTTACGAGCTTGGATATATTTTCCCTATAGGGTTTTGCAATGGATGTGAGTTGTTGGGTAATAACAATGGTTGATATTCCCATATGTCTTGCGCTAAACCCAAGTTTTACCAATTCGCTGGTTCTGTTTTTGACGGATTGACTACTAGCACGTACAGTCATCAAGGACGATAAGGCTATTTTTTCCTCTTGCAAAATGCGAAACGTATTCTAAACACTGGTTTACATCATCCTGCTTGCAGGGCATGGCCATAAAGTCCTTATCCGTATTGTATTTCCAGTCCTGGTACGTTTTGTTCCATTCGTATGTGGGACATATTAGGAACATGTACTCGAAGTGGTTTTTATAGTCGTTTTCCAACATTTCCAGTAGGTAGTAGGTTTTTCGACATCCGGTCATTCCGAGAATGATCATGTTGAATGGTGTTTTCAGCGGTTCCATCTTTTATTTAATAACTAATACCCTAAAGGGTCTTTTCGCTGATGTTTATGAGTCCATCGGATAGCACAAAGATGTTACAGAGGATGTCTTCGGACATCGCGTCGGTTTCGATCTCCAGAAGGATTCCGGGATTGTCACCGAGGAGCTTTTTTCCACTTCCAACAATGTGACTGTCATCAACAGCTCTCAGATCGATCACCAGTGCAAATTTACTTTTGTAAAATTTTCTAACGCTTATGTTGTCGTTGCAGGCGTTGTTGGCCATTCCGAACAGTCTTTTCGCCTCATCGTAAAAGTTTTCGTATGTTAGACCCTGACTATATACAGCATTCGGTTTCCCCTCTATTGTAACCTTTACCTTTTCGATGCTTGGGAAGATGTATTCCTCGCTGTCGGTTATTGTCCTTTTCCTGAAGAGTAGAACAATGGCCCTCATGCTTACCCTCGGAACGTCTATGGTTTCGTTAAACCTTGTAGCATCCTTTGTCCACACGGTTGTTTTTAACAGTGTTGTGTGTTCGTAGGACAGGGATCTACCGGTCTCGTATCCTTCGTTTACCCGTTTGGCTATATAGTTCCTCGTTCTCTATTGTTTCATATTCCAAGTGTATGTTCTTCAGTGTATATCCTTCCACCTTCTCGTTTGCCTGTGCAACCATAATCTTGTCGGCTTTTGGAAGGGTTATCGTGTACTCGAATCTGCTCTTCATGTTATACGGTGCATATAGACCGTGGTCATTAAGAATTTTTCCGAGTTTCATTTTCTGCTCCTTGTATACCTTTGCCATCACCAGGTCGTAGTCACCATCCGTCTTTGCGGTTTGATCAGCACTGTCGTCCTTCGACAATAGCTTTCTTGTGTTTTCTTTCATAATTCCGTATTCTATCATGTTTGCTCTTTTTGAATTCATCTTCCAGAGATCTTTGTAGACTTCGATGAGACTTTCACCGTTATTGTCGTATACTATTTCACCGCCAACCCTTATCATGAGCCGCTCGCATAGAAGTTTACCGAGATTATTCATAAAACAGGATTTGGTGTTTTCGTTCTAGAACTCGTACGACAGGCGGAATGAGTCCGGAACGATACAGGTGTTCGGTTCTAATTTTGGAACTACAATCCGGATGTCATTTCCGGGGTTGGATTCGTTCGGATTGAATGTAACGAAGTTACATACTCTGTTCCCTACAACGTCGGAGGTCAGTGCCCTTTTGAAACCGGGCGTAAGTTCTTGACTTCTCTTTTCCATTCCTTTTATCATACCGACTAATTATTAAATTTTTCGAACTTTGGTCCCGGCTCGTCCTGCATCTGTGGTTCGGTTGTACGATCAGGCTTGTTTGCAGGTCTGACCCTACAGTATATGAAGTAGATTCCCCCTAACGCGGCTGTTGCGACTCCAGCGCGCGTAAATTAGCGTATTTACCGAATCACCCTGATCGGAACTATTTTCAATGCTACGTCTTTCTTCAGCCTTCCTTGCTTTTGCTTCTCTAGATATTGCGGCTAGTCTCTTACCCGATTCTACCCTTCTTGAATCCTTTGGTTTTTGGGTCTTTTCTGCTTTTGTTATTGTCGGTTCATCCATACTTTATTTAATATACTTACTTTTTTAGAATTTCTAGTCAAATTTAGTCAAATCTAGTCAAATTCTAGTCAGAGCTAGTTGCAGCATAACCTTAACTAGATTTCAGCATAACCTTAACTAGGTTTAGCATCTAGTTAAATTTTAGTTGAATTCTAGTTGAATTCTAGTCGAATTTCAATACAAAAATAGTGTTTTAGACCGAAATGAGGTGTTTTATACCGAAATATGATGTTCCAGTTCTATAAAACGATGTTTTTTTTATGTATTTCCATGCTAAAATCTAGCCAGGTAATGACCTGCGGGACTTTTCGGATTACGGGATGTAAATGTGAACGCCTTGTCCTTGTAGTTTCAAAATCAACTTAAGGTAATTTCGAAACCTATTTAAAGAAATATTTTTCATATAATAAAAGGTATGGATTTTCCTATGACAATATTTGGAGATATTAGTCACTTACCGGAAAAGGAGCGTAAGTTGATGGAAGAGGAGCGTAGGCCAATAGAAGAGGAGCGTAAGTCAATGGAAGAGCGACGTAGGTTAAGGTCAAATCCTCCGGATTGGTTGGTCCTCTTCAGGCAAGCGGAAAAGGAGCATTCGGATTTACTTGCTTCAAAGGAACCTGTGGAGTTTCCGAACAAACACTTTTGTTCCGAGGGACGTAAGCACCAACTTGCCCCCATAAACTGGAAATGGACGTGTCGTGAGTGTGGCTGATTATTGACAAGGTCCACGATCTCTGTTACGACTACGATTCCCGTTACGACGACAACGGTTATTGGGACATTGTGATTATGAGAAGGAAGAAATTGAGCATCGACGATAGGTTAGAATCATTTTATACCAGGATAACACGTTACGATCTATCGGAGCGCGATAGGCGTTTGATAGAAAAAGACATTTATAAAGTCTGTGAGGCAAAGGAACCGAAAATGAAGACGCTTCCCAACTTCGACATCCTGACCTATCAGATATGTAAACGACATAACATAAAGATGGACGAAAAGCTGCTTAAGATTCCGGGAAGCAAAGTTCCACACGATCGATGCAGAAAAGTATTCCAGACGTTGGGTTGGGAATACATCGGGTGCGATCATCAAAACAAGACATCGGCAGACACATCCAGCATTGAATTCAGATACAAAGGCTTTTGTAAGAGGATGGGAATGACATACTCCGTGTTATCGGTAGAGGATAGAAATAGAATCATGGAAGACATCAGAAAGGTACACGACGCGGAGGAACCGAAAATGAAGACGCTTCCCAACCTTAGTATTCTGACTTATTAGATATGTAAACGACTTAACATAAAAATGGACGAGAAGCTGCTTAAAATTCCGGTAAGCAGGGTTCCACATAATCGGTGTAAAAAGTATACCAGATGTTGGGTTGGGAATACGTTGAATAATTTTAACGCTTTTCATCAAGCATTAAAATTGAAATAGTAATTTAAGGGCGATGATGAAGAGAAGAATTTCAACCGTTATCGGGATGAGTAGGCAGGACACCAGACTCATCCACGTTAGTCTCCGCAGTATTTGAATTTTCGTCATTTATTTTAACGTACTTTTTTACCGTTGTGCTGACGTATCCAATTTGGGTGTGAGCGTTGATAGTAAGATCACCGCGTTCCATACCGACTCCAAAACTGAACATTTTCCTTTTCCGATGGTTTTTGTCGTACTTCACTTCATTTGTGGTCTCAGGTTTTTCGAGTAAACATCCCATTTTATTTATTCTTCTTTTTATTTTCCGTTGACTTCGGTTTGTCTTCCTTTGCGGTCTTTGACGACGGTCCCGCTTTGTCTTCCTTACACGACGTAACGTACTTGATGTTGGTCGTTTTGGATTTAACGTAACCGAGATTTAATCCACCTCTATTGAGTTTTATATCGACGTTGACGGTTTTATCCTTTTTTAACTTTCCCTTAATCTTGCTGCTGTCGCTATTCATTCTTTTATTAATACGGAAAGAAAATCCATCTTGAAGCGATAACTCCGCCAACAAACATAGTGCCGAGGAGGTAAACCAGATTGTTTGATGCTTTCGGTATGCTTGTTGTGTTAGGATGCGGTATGGGGTTTTGCTTCTCGCGTGGTATAGGGTTTTGGACTTTTACATCCGGACTCTTCTTTATTTCCTTAGGCTTTGAGTAGTTAACATCTGTATTACTACCAAACTTCATGTCCTTTGTTGCTAGTGTCAGTGTATTGTTGTACCCTGCTATTTTTTCCTTGAGTATAATCATATTGGATGGTATTAATATTAATCCGGGTGATATTGCCATGTTAAGTACAACGTTAGTATCCTTTATTGCTTTCCTCATATTGGAGATGGATACCGATACATCGTCTTGCGCAACGGTGTCTTTGAAAAGTTTGTGAAATACGTCCTGAGTTTGCAGGGACTTCGCCCCTTTACCAACGATAGACCAACGTGTTTGTGCTTGCGCACCTAATACGCAGTAAACATAACTTTCGATAGATTGTTGAAGTAGCTTTAATCCCAGGGGTGTCAACCCGTTTGATTTCTTGGCTATGAATTGGGTGTAGTCCGTGTCGCTGTTGTTAGTGACCCTGTCTACTTCCTGATCGATAGCTAATTCCCATTACACCACCGGTATGGTAGTATGAATATCTATAGTTTCTAACCCTACTCTTATCCGGAAGTCTGCTATGCCAGAGACCTATTTCCATTTGTCCTCGGTGAAATTTGTTAACCCACGTTTTTTGTGTGGGCATGTTTCTCTGCAGGGATTTTAGCACATCCTTTGCTACGTACAGTACTTGTCATTTTGTTCGGATTTTTGAGAAACCTACGCATGTGGTAGTATAGGTGATACCTAGCAATACTTGTGATTACCTTTGAGGTACCTTTGCTTTCCAGCAGGTGTTCCGTACTTATCCCACACTTATACGTAATAATGTAAGCAGCCAGTATCGATGCAAAATAGGGATCGTTTATAATATAATCGAACTTTACCCTGGTGATATCCTTTGTGGTACCGGTCCACTTCGTATCGAGGTCGGCGAAGTTGGATACAAAGCTGTTGTGGGAGGTGTTAATACAGTCGCAAACATAAATTTCAGACTTATTTATCCTATACGGAAGTGGGTCCCTGTTGTGTCCAAAGGTTTGAACGGTTCCGTAATTACCCCATATCCTCTCCCATTGGTAAAGATACCACGTCCACTTTTTATTTCACCTGAATGTGCTGGATTTGATGTCGTAACTTTCCAGGTCCATAACCTTAAAGAATATGTCCTTGGATTCTAGGGTTCCATCCTTTGCAAATGTAACCTTAAAGTCAAATTTAGACATTTTTGCGTCCGGATATTTCTTCCTAAAATCCTCCTTCATCTTCCGTATTTCTACGGGTACTGCCGCTTTAATTTTTCGTAGTTCTGTCCGTAATAGTTACGGAAGATGTCTTCACTGGTGCTCATTTTATTTATTACATATAATAAAAATGAAGAAGTTAACGGTGTTTATCGAAGACGGAACTACCGAGTTCTTTCCGGACAAGTATATTAGAACGAATGCGGGGTCGGAATTAATCCTAAAGAACGCGACCATCTACTGGGCCTATAAGAACGTACGTTCGGGTGTCAACGATAGTATTACCTACGGACAGAAGAAAATTACCTTTGACGAGGGCTACTGGACCTTCGATGCAATAAAGAAAAAACTGAAGGCAGACGGAATAACTGTAGAACGCAACACGCATGACAATACCTGCAGAATTTATCCGGCAACCAAGGTGAACTTACATTTAAATGAATTTGCTCCGCTAATAGGATTTCCAGAAACGGAGATCCTAACCTCCGAAGTGTGGGAAAGATCTCCCTATCCTATAGATATTAATCGCGGTCTTAAATATATTACCATAGACTGTGATGTTGTTAATACATCCCTAAATTTTGACGTATATGGTGATGGAAGTTTTACGGTGGGCACGCTACCCGTGACATCCGGCCAACATCTAAACGGAACAACAACGTTTTTCAAGGATATTGGAAGTAGGGTTTATGTTAATAACGGTTCCCACAACAGATTCTCCTTCAGTATCAATACGAACATCAGCGATAAGGTCGATATGTCCGCACTCCTCGAATTTTATATCACATAGATAAAATGGAAGACGAACACTTTATTACCGAACAAGGGTTAAGAGATATCTACTACAATCCAGGTACCGGCTATCAATCCGCGGAGAAGCTCTATCTGAAGGCAAAGGAGAAGGGACTGGACGTTAGTAGAAAAATAGTGAAGGACTGGTTAAAGACCCAGGACACTTACACAAGGTACAAGCCTATCGTTAGAAAACACAAATTTCAAATTAAGGACCTGGCGGACCAAGTGCAGATGGATTTGGTGGATATGGGAAAATACAAAAATCAGAACAAAGGATATTACTGGATACTAACAGCTGTAGAGATCCTGAGCCGTTACGGGTTTGCTATTCCCGTCTACAGAAAGGATACGAAAAACATGACGAAGGCTGTGAACTTATTATTGGAGGAATTTAAGAAAAGGTTTGGGAAATACCCGGAAGTTGCTCAGTTCGACGAGGGAAAGGAATTCTACAACGTTGGTGTTAGGGACCTCTTACAAAAACACGACGTCCGCTATTTTTGCACGAACTCTGACAGAAAGGCAGCCATCGTTGAAAGATTTAACAGGACCTTGAAGACAATGATGTGGAAGTATTTCTACAGCAAAGGGACTTACAATTGGATAGACGCCATAGACGAGCTTACGAATAACTATAATCATACCAAACACAGCAGTATACTAATGAGACCTGCCGACGTAAGCAAGTCGAACAAGGACCAGGTATGGATCACGCTATACGGTCACGGATTAGGGGAATTTCCATTACCTAAATTTAGGGTTGATGATACGGTCCGGATAACGAAGTACAAAAATATCTTTACCAAGGGATACGAAGCAAACTTTACGGAAGAGATATTCAAAGTTGTAAAAGTATTCAGGGGAGATCCTAACATGTACGAAATAGAAAGTCATGACGGTGAACCGATCATCGGAAAGTTCTACGAAGAGGAACTATCCGCTGTTGACAAAAAGGACGATGTGTATAGGGTGGAGAAAATTCTAAGAAGAAGGAAGGGTATGATACTGGTCAAGTGGTTAGGATACGATAGTAAGCACAATTCCTGGATTCCGGAAGAAAATATTAAGGATATAAAATAAATGGCTGACATTGAACTAGACGAAACAAATCGCGTCGACGACCGCGAAGCCGAAGAAGCCGGAACGGCGGAGAAAGAAACAAGTTTCATCGACGACAACGGGAGACTGGACGAAAGTATATTAATTCCCGTCGGATTCAATCCGGACGTCGATGGATCAACGCCCAGCGGTTCCACACCGAACATCAGACGGGATGCTGGGATAATGAAACGAGCCTATAAGTTGGATAAAAAGCATTTCCTCAAAAGGGAACTTGGGGTAAATATCAATAAGGGTGACGGTCCATCTTCCACCATCATCTTCGACAAAATGAAACTGACCGTAAATAAGGCCGGTACAAAAATTAGCGGTGCTACATTCAAAGATGTCAAAATCATTATCTCGAAAAATGGTAAAATGATATACTCCGCGGATAAGAAAAAGGAATTCGTCGTAAACGAATACAAAGAACTGATCAGGAAAGCTAAAATAGAGCATTCAAAAACACCTGCAGCCTTAGTGGAGGAACAACTCGAACGACAGAATCTAGATGCTTCTCAGGAATTTGTGGATAACGTACTGGAAAATATCGTTGAAAGAATGGATGACGAACTGTCCAATCAAAGTGAATCCATTGGTAATAGTACAGTTATAACGGAAAACGAACTAAGGGAACTGAGAGGTATCCTGAACGTAAAGGGAAACTCGGGTAAGCAAAAAATTGAGCATCTTGAAGTAGAAAAAAATCACTGGAAAGAACTGGCCGAAACCGAACGAACTGCAGGACGTGAACAGAAGGCTCTCCTGTACGAAGCAATGGCAGACATGACAGAATTGAAAGCGGATGAAATAAGGTTAAGATCAAACGAACGACCAAAAGGACCGAAAGCTTTGTCCATCGTGGAAGAGGAGGTAGAAATAAACGATCTTACGAGGTTCGAAAGATTTAAGAAATGGGCAATGGAAAATATAGCCGGAATATCAGCCGTAGCAATATCCGTGGCCGGTATCATCACCACGATTATTATGGGGGCTAGAAGCGTAGCAAAAAAGGGAGCGAGAGCAACGAGTAAGTTCGCAAAAGCAATGGCAAACCTGGCTGGAAAGGTTGGACCCGTACTAGCATCCGTACTGAACCTCGTCGCTAAGGTTCTGTCATGGGGAGCAAAGGGCATTGCGTTCCTGGCGAAGAATCTTTGGATTTTAGCCTTAGCATTAACTTACTTCCTGTATAATGAGTACAGGAAAAGGAAAAAATAAATAAGAACACATATAATAAAGAATGGGAGATAGAAAGGACTTTATGAACGAAGCCTTCGACGCCGGACTTATTACACTTGGCGCAGTCGCTGTGTCCGTGGTAAGCAAAAAATTTGCAGGCGATAGTCTCGGAGTACCTAGTAGTCCGAAAGGAATTCTAAAACTAGCCGTAGCCCTTGGGGTTGGTGCAGTTGGAGTTCACTACCTACAGTTCAAAAAACTAGTACCGGATGATCCATTCAAATAAACCACTATAATAAAAGAAGATGACAAGTGTTGTGGTCGGAAGACTATTCAACGCCGTAGCATTTGCAGGAGCCGGATACCTGTTCAGCAAATTAAATCACAGTGGATACGAAGGCGAAATGAAAAGACACAACAAAGCGCTGGAAAAATTAGCCAAGGCTAGGGAAAAATGGTACGAAAGTCAAGTGGGAAAAAAGAACAGAATTGCAATACTCAGGCAGGAATCAGTCGACGCCAAATCGGATATGGAAACAACAAACCGACGATTCACGATTACTACAAACCATCAAGCGAAATGGAAGAATACCAGCAGATCACGATTGGAATATTGGGACTGGGGTCTAGATTCGTAATTACAAAATTACTGTAGACCCGTTAAAATTTTAATGTTCTCTCGAATATTAAAATTGGTTTCTACTGTCTTTGGCTTTTGTGTCCGATTGCTAGCGTGTTGATTCCATCCTCCATGATTATCCTCTTGTCATCATTTGCAGACAGGGCTACCTTGACGACCCTTTCCGTATATATTTCATGTAGTCTACTCCTGAAAACATCCATTCCCCTCCATTGTTTCTCACCGCTGAAGAGACATTCCTTATAGTTTTCGAATGTTATTTCCTTCTTGATGACTACTTTCTTGACTCCCTTACACTTTTTTTCCTCACCACCGTCTTCCGCCATTTTGTAAGCACATAGCTTTGACCTTAATCCCACAAACTCTTCAATTTTTTTTGCACCCGTTTCCAGCTTCATCATCCCGATTACCTTCTTGTTTACACCCGTTTGGATTCCGGATGGGTGGTCTTTACCTAGATTGCTGGTGTCAAATCTTTCGCGGACATCGCCGGATATATCCTTAAAGAAATCTTCGGTGTAAATTTCATAACATAGGGAGTCCGTGTCCGTGAATAGAAGCCCGGCATCATCCCCATACTTTGGTCTAGTGTAATTGTAGTGGAAGTCGTACATGAGGGTCTTACTGATGTCAAGGATGCTCATCCCCAAGTATATAGGTTTATTCAGTTTTACAGATGTCTTCATCATAGGAACTGCCACTAGGTTTTCGGAAAAGATGGTCACAGATTTGTAGTTATGCTTTTGAGCCAGCTTGTTCCACTTCTCCTCGTTATTAACAAGTCTTATGTCAACCCTATTCCTAACATTTTCCATCGTCTTTCCGAATACAGAGTTGTTCATAAGCTTAAAGAAGTCCTTTTCAAAGTCTGTAGTACCTTTGGTACGCAGGTCTGTGTTAAGTTGGATATATTCCTTCATCCAAGGCTTTTCGTAGAATTTCAGCCCACGGTGAATCTTAACGAGCTTTAACCCTAGACTCAGGTACTGTCTTAGGTTCTTGTGGTGAAGGACGTATTTTTCCTTGTTGTTGAGGTTCGGAATGAGTTTTTCCACTTTGTTAACCATTATCCTTTCGGGTGCGAGGGGGTATTCGTTATGTTTGTCATGTAGTTCGTCGGGATATTCCAGATCCACTTCGAGGATGCAGCTGTAGTCCGTCCACTTCTCCAGTTCCCCATCATTCATCCATTTGAAGTCCTTGATGGGTAGGGGTTGACTCATTGCCCATCCGTACAGGTTGTTCGCGTCCATATAGGGAAGGTATGTAGTCCGCTCTTCATCGTCGCGACCAACCACCAGTTTCGTACCGGTAATGATTGTGATAATCGTGTCGACCATAGATATGATTACGGCTGATAGACCGGAAAACTTTTTTCCCATCCACTTTTTGAACCTTTCCAACCAGGTTAGGTTTTTAGAAAGTTCGGTATACTTATTGCTTGCTTTAGCATACCTTTTTGTAATGGTGCTGATCCCACCCCGAATACCCTTTTCAATGAATAGGTACATATCCGGATCGTATATGAGGTCCAGTTCCACACCGGTTAACTTCAACGCAGCGTCCCATGCCAGCCCGGGTGCTGTGTAGTAACACATCGGATCCAATCCGTAGTTGGTCTTACAAACCTTTCTGAAATTTCCCATCACATCTGCCAGGAGGAGGACGTCCGTTATCAGGTACAGATCGTGATAGTTCCTCATGGTTTTCATGTTGAAGGTATTCCATACGTTCCAGGCTCTTTCGTAATCCATGTCGCTTATGCTTTCGTTGTTGAGCTTGCTGAAGAATTTTTCCTTCGGTGGGAGCGATGTTTCTTCAAGCCTCTCAAAACCATCCATATATTCATAAGGGTAAACACCCTTCTGTTTAAGCAGCTCCCTCCGTTCCTTAGTGCTACGGCCCGTCATCAAATCCAAATTTTTGAAGTCGTCCTTACCCAAACCCTTGACGAGCTTGTCCAGGGAGCTTGCCATGAACTTAAATGAGTCGAGAAACCTTAGCTCTCTTTTAACCTTCTTCTCCTTCCCGTCTTCGTTGATAAACTTAGCGACCTCTATCTCCTTAGTAAAGGAAATGTACTTCTCTTCCGTTTTAGGAATACACTTGATGTCTCCACTACTTACCCCAAGGTTTTTAATGAATAGATGAGCATCGTATCCTTCGAGGTTGTGAAAAAGTACCGGAATGAATTTGGGCCTTCTCATTCTCAAATTACACGTACTGTGTGCCGCACCCCTGTACACTCCCGTATAGTGACAATGGTCCCTAACCTTGTGGTCTTTCGTAGTGAATTCCTTCCTACACGCATAACAGCTGTCTGCCCTTTCATAATTTTCGGTATCTTCGAAGAACATCCTGATAGGTTCCTTGAATTTAAACCTGTAGTATATATCACGGACTTCCTCTTCCAGCATGTCCACAAACTTTTTAGTAACGTCTTTTCCCTCGTGTTGTTGGGTATAGTGTACCAGCCTGGGTTTGTAAACGGAATTGTCAAAACACTTGACGTAGTAACAAAATCCGCTGGGGTTGTGCTTTTGGTATTGGGTGGTACTCGATCTGTTGGGGTTCTGCCCGACCGTGTCCATCCCTTCGATGTAGCATTCGAAGTCAGCATAGATGACAAACGGAACGGTTTGTGTTTTTTCATAATTTTTAAACTCTGTGGTGGTAATGGGTTCCGGGTACTCATGCCTCTGATAGTTGTTGTTCGAACATAACCCCAGATGTCTTTCCAGGAGTTCGCTCGATCCGAATGCGTTGAGACAACGGTTGCAGATGTGTTTTTTATGTCCATGATCGTTAACCTGTTCGCCTACAAGTCTCGACATATCCTTGATAACACTATAGTGATTCTTCCACAGAAAGAGGTTTATGGAATCGACACTGCCGGATATTCGCAAGGGACATACCTTATGACATCCGTCAAGCCCAAACACGTTAACACCGATGTTATTGTTCTTTTCAAACTTTTTGATATTGTTTAGGGGTGTTGGGAACTTTATCCCTTCCCAGTCTAGCATTCTGGACTGTTCCTTAAGTTCCTTTGAAATTCTTTCCGGATGGATGTTAATATCATTCAGTGCGCGGGTCACAGCGCACTTAAAACATTTGTCGTCGTCGTTCTTCATATTGATGATCGCTTTCTTCTTCCTGATCGTCTCGGATAATGGTACGTAACCCTTTCCCCTTAACGGCTGGTATTCTCCGATATGAATTTCGAGCAGATCTACTCTTCGAAGCCTCCACCCACTACCACGCTTCTGGTATTCGGAAAAGGATTCTAGCATCTTTTCCTTCATGGTATTAAAGGACTCTTCCGTGTCATCCGTACCAACAAGTTTGTGGGTTTTGATCTGAAGTGTGCAACGACGGATACTTCTTCCTCAGTTTTCGGGTCGTTCCTTATCATCTCGCATGCTAAGGACATGCTAACATTCCTCGGTTCTGTTTCGGAATTTATAAGCGTCTCGACCTCGTCCCTTGTGATATCGAGGAAGTGGATCGGATCGTACGCTCCGTTGGGGTTGATGACATACTTCTTTGCCCTCCCTTTTATACCAAGCTTGGTTAGGACGGGTTTTAGGTCTTCTTCCGGATTGGTGTCATACCACTGTTCGTCCTCGTCGCTAAAGTTCTCTCTTGCGTCATACCACTGGTCTTCTTCTTCCTCTTTGCCGCTGTACAGTGATCCAAAACATACGCAATGGAAGACTTATTGAAGACTTCCCAAGGCGGGGGGTGGTGGGGTTTGCGCATGCGCGGTGAGGATTTTGGGTAGGCTTTGGGTAGGCTTAGGGTAGGCTTTGGATAGGCTTTGGGTACGCTTTGGCAAGACTTTGGCGAGACTTAGGGCAGGCTTAGGTAAGACTTAGGGAAGGCTTAGGGTAGGCTTAGGCGAGACTTCTGGAAGCACTCTCAAGGCGGGGGTGGTGGGGGGCTTGTGGGGGTCACGTGGTCACGTGATTTTTATAAACCGGAAGTGACGTTATAGTTACGGGCAAGTTCGAGCGGGGCTGATTGCGGGAAACCGGGGGTGATGTCATCGGGATGCGCGGGAGGGGGTGCGCAGTAGCTGTTAATTGGTCTTTCTGTCACCCTGGGGGTGGGGGTAAGGGTCTGTCACCAAAATGTCCATGAATCGGCGTTTTCCTACTACTCATATTTGGCCATTTAAGGATTTGGATGCTTTCATTGGATCTATTGAAAATGATTCTGTTTATAGAAACTTTTCATACCTGTTGTTCTGCCCACTGATTTAGTTAAAACTTACTGCAGCAAGGGCGTAACCCTACAAGATGAAGGAACGTATGCGTTTGTCCCCCTCACTATTTGGGCATTCACAATATGATTTATAATAAATTGCGTCTGTTGGCTGGCCCAGTTCTTCCCTCACTTTTTGGAATGGATTTTCGCTATTGCACACCAGGCGACATATCTTCACTTGTAGTAAGAACGGCAAGACTGCTATTGAAATTATCAAATTGCTTGAAAATGTTGCTCAGTGAAATTGTTTCTGAATGTTAGAGAACACTGGGGAACATTATAAATCATTCATCATAATTCATAATCGCGTGTGAATGAGTGAGTCATTCACTAACAACGTCCTCAGGTCAATCAGATTTATCGCTGTGAATTAAAGACGATGTTGAAAGCACATCAATTGATCTGTAATCAGACCTGATAAAGTATTAATGTTCTTCGGATCCTGAATTTCAAATGTTTTTCAAAATTGCGTAAAAAGAATGGAAAATTTGACCGTACATTACTCCAAATTTGAACATTGAACAACACTTCACAATCTCAAATGGCAGAGAAGGGACTATGATATAATGATTCCTTAAGATTTCTCCCATAACGTATGTTGTGTGAAAAATTGAAAACGTTTTTCAATCTTCTTGCTAAGGCAAGTGTTCCTCAGGTTCCCGAGAACCCACTTTTCTCCAGGTCTGTCTGTAATTGAGTATACGAAGGAAACGATTACTACTATAAATTACTGTAAGTTTCCTTCTCATGGGTTAAAAATTTGTAAAGCGCATTTGCAGGGAAGACTGGCCCAGGAAACCCAGGATAATAGGATTCAGGGCCACATTTTCACATATGATTCAAAATTATACACTAGTTTTCAATAGTTTGCCATGTTACTACGTTATTCGGTCAAAGTTTTGGAAAGTGTTTCCCTGTTCATGAGTTTTGGAAAGTGTTTCCCTGTTCATGATGAATTATTTTCCTTGTGCGAGTCCCGTGACTGCTCGTAAATTCTTTCCGAATTAATTAAGTTAGCGTGGACGTGAAAAATATCTCGTTTTCGAGGCTACCCATTCCATTGTCTCATGTTCCCTCAAAATCCAATATAACTATCGTTTCCAGGGCGTACGTGTCTTCCCAATGATGAGTTTACGTGTAGTTACGATGGCGACAATGCTCACTGTATTCCAAAGGTCTGGGTTTGTGATCTGAATAGTGATTGTCCTGATAATATTGATGAAGAAAATTGTGGTAAGCTTTAAATCTGTTTACAACATGCCTTTAAATATGATTTATAATAAATTCCCAATATGATTTATAATAAATTACGTCTGTTGGCTGGCCCAGTTGTTCCCTCACCTTTTGGAATGGATTTTCGCTATTGCACACCAGGCGACATATCTTCACTTGTTGTAAGAACAGCCAGAGGCCATAAGGCAACGTTTAACACAATTTCTCCTACCTGTATAGTGGACATCAAATCATGTTCATCATTATATGACTTTGCGTGCAGCAATGGGCGTTGTATTCCCAGGAGTCTGACGTGCGATGGTGATAATGATTGTGGAGATAATACAGATGAACATCGAGATTCGTGTAAGTTGCAGGTTGTTATTCGTTTGTTGATGTTGTTGTCGTTGTCGTTGTCGTTGTTATATACTATAAACATGTTTTCATAAAATCACCAGCCTCAAGCACAAATTAGCTAATTAATATTCAAATTCAATTTCTGTTTAAGGTTTTCACAAATGCAACACCTCAATATTCTTTACATGTCGAAATTGGAAATGTGTCCCCAAACTGTGGCGTTGTGACAATCATGATGACTGTGGGGATGGTAGTGATGAAATGGGATGTGGTAAGCTGAATCTCACAATGTCGTTAATGAAACATGGAGCTCGAGGTTTTAAGGAAGATAATCTTCCTATAATACACCTTTCCGGAAAGTATTCAATCTTGGCTATAGAACCTCGATTTCGTGATTGAGATATTGGGTTTGAGCCCTTTATCTTTTTAAATGTAATGACATATTCACGAAATCATACAGTCGTGTAAGACCTTTATATAATTAAGTCATCAATAATAAGATAGAGAGCCGAAATAAGCAATCACGAAAACGATGCTCTATAACAAAATACTTTCTTGGAAAGTCTATTGAAAAGCACAACCAACCGGTGTGAAATAATCACAAACATAAGCGTCAGGAAAAACGAATCAATTCCTTGCTTTGTGCATATACTATTTATTCTCCCCCTGTGAACCGCAGTGAAATAAGAACGAACATGCAATTAAGGACAAGGATTTCAATACCTTCCTCGCTTGCAACATACCGCGTGCTTGTGTATCAACCTCGTACCCAGGTAGGCTTGTGTTAGTTGTGTATATGTTGTGCATGTGGTTATAAGAAATTTTTCTAATTTTGCTTAGGTAGTGTAGGGTCTTGTCTAGCAGATGAATTTCAATGTCAGAGAAGTAAGAAATGTATCAAGAAATCTTGGGTGTGCGATAAAGATAAAGACTGTTCCGATTCGTCTGATGAAAGAAATTGCGGTAATGTTAACATTCATCAGCGGTATCCACCATTTTGGGTGGCAAAAATATTCTATTTAAATTAATATACAACCAACCGGTGTGAAATAATCACAAACATAAGCGTCAGGAAAAACGAATCAATTCCTTGCTTTGTGCATATACTATTTATTCTCCCCCTGTGAACCGCAGTGAAATAAGAACGAACATGCAATTAAGGACAAGGATTTCAATACCTTCCTCGCTTGCAACATACCGCGTGCTTGTGTATCAACCTCGTACCCAGGTAGGCTTGTGTTAGTTGTGTATATGTTGTGCATGTGGTTATAAGAAATATTTTCTAATTTTGCTTAGGTAGTGTAGGGTCTTGTCTAGCAGATGAATTTCAATGTCAGAGAAGTAAGAAATGTATCAAGAAATCTTGGGTGTGCGATAAAGATAAAGACTGTTCCGATTCGTCTGATGAAAGAAATTGCGGTAATGTTAACATTCATCAGCGGTATCCACCATTTTGGGTGGCAAAAATATTCTATTTAAATTAATATCACTCTTCAAAGTGGTCAAGCGAAAGCAACAGCTGCAATCACTGCCACAGTCTTGCTTTGACGCCATGTCTGCTTTTAATAACTATTTTTAATTTCCCACCCAAGATGGCGAAAGTCAACAAATACGTGTTGTGACGTCCCTTGCAAGAGCCTAATAGAAAAATTACATGTTCTTGTGTTCCAGCTCAGTGCCTTCCTGGTAGCATAGAGAATTGTGTACCCTCAGTCTCTTGTGAGAAGAGTTCTCTCACTTAGACTCTACCAATCACCACAATGCAACTCCAGTTTGCTTCTTAGTAACAGTGAAAGACTTAATTGAACGCATAATAATAAGAATCCAGAACGAATTTTTTAATGGAGCTAACCAGAATTGATAACTGGTCTAATTCAAGAATTACTTTTAATTCTTCATTGTTAATAATAATAGGTGAAAATATCGTTAAATACGATGCTTGTGATGTTACTCTGAGTGTATATCCACACCGGGCAAGCTCGAAAAATATGCGTGACCACGGTGGGAATCGAACCTACGACCTTTGGAATACTAGCCCAATGCTCTGCCAACTGAGCTACGCGGTCTGGTCGGTTCGAGTATGAAATATTTCGGAACAGAATCTAGTTCCTTCGATATCAATGTTATCTAATAATAATAATAATAATAATAATAATAATAATAATAATCATGATTCTTTCTGTGTTGGTGTAATGTACTCAGGTGAATATGATGCTTGTGATGTTACTCTGAGTGTATATCCACACCGGGCAAGCTTAAAAAATATGCCTGACCACGGTGGGAATCGAACCTACGACCTTTGGAATACTAGCCCAATGCTCTGCCAACTGAGCTACGCGGTCTGGTCGGTTCGAGTATGAAATATTTCGGAACAGAATCTAGTTCCTTCGATATCAATGTTATCTAATAATAATAATAATAATAATAATAATAATAATAATAATCATGATTCTTTCTGTGTTGGTGTAATGTACTCAGGTGAATATGATGCTTGTGATGTTACTCTGAGTGTATATCCACACCGGGCAAGCTTAAAAAATATGCCTGACCACGGTGGGAATCGAACCTACGACCTTTGGAATTCTAGCCCAATGCTCTGCCAACTGAGCTACGCGGTCTGGTCGGTTCGATTCCGAATAAAATCATATGATGTGATTATAAATATCAAAGACTGTCGCGACAGTTACGTCAATTCTTTCAAATCAAAAGACTTACACATGCTTTTGTTCATTGCGATTACTGACCTCTTGTAAGCAATCATGCTTCAAGTCTTGTTTTTAATTGTGCCATGCCTTCATATTACACGTTGCATGAATATTTCCCGACGATACAGAGAAACGTACGACAAGTGTACCTTGTCAGCAGAGTTCATTTGCATTCTTCTATAAATCGACTACAAACTTCCCCTGGGGTAACCGGATAAGCGGTAAGGATACATAACAAGCTTTCGTTCTTAGGGATGCAACTACCTGAAAAATACTGGAATGGAATGGATAGATTACTTGCATAGTGTGGGAACTGAGCTGCGTGGAGTGGTGGCTGTATTTGAGGTGGGGGCTGCACTGTGTGGAATGGGGGTTGTACTTGAAATAAGGTCTGTTGTTGAGGTGGAGGTTGTTCTGCGTGGAAAGGGCGTTGCACTTGAGGTGGGGGCTGTTCTGCGTGGGAAGGGCGTTGCACTTGAGGTGGGGGTTGTACTGTGTGGAAAGGGCGTTGCACTTGAGGTGGGGGCTGTTCTGCGTGGGAAGGGCGTTGCACTTGAGGTGGGGGTTGTAGTGTGTGGAAAGGGCGTTGCACTTGAGGTGGGGGCTGTTCTGCGTGGAAAGAGCGTTGCACTTGAGGTGGGGGTTGCACTGTGTGGAGTGGGGGTTGCACTGTGTGGAGTGGGGGTTGCACTTGAGGTGGGGGCTGTTCTGGATGGAAAGGGCGTTGCACATGAGGTGGGAGTTGTTCTGCGTGGAGAGGGCGTTCCACTTGAGGTGGAGACTGTTCTGGATGGAAAGGGCGTTGCACTTGAAGTGAGGGTTGTTCTGTGTGGAAAGGGCGTTGCACTTGAGGTGGGGGCTGTTCTGCGTGGAAAGGGCGTTGCACTTGAAGTGAGGGTTGTTCTGTGTGGAAAGGGCGTTGGACTTGAGGTGGGGACTGTTCTGTTTGGAGAGGGTATTGCACTTGAGGTGAGGGTTGTTCTGTGTGGAGAGGGCATTGCACTTGAGGTGAGGGTTGTTCTGTGTGGAAAGGACGTTGCACTTGAGGTGGGGACTGTTCTGTGTGGAGAGGGTATTGCACTTGAGGTGAGGGCTGTTCTGCGTGGAATGGGGGTTGTACTTGAGATACACTATCGATTTCTGATGAATCCGGTCGATCCTCAACAGGTTGGTATGGAGATTGGATCAGTGCCTCGGAAAAGGGATGTTCTGCGCGTGGCTCTTCTTGTTCTACTTTGGCCTGCGGCACTCTTTGTTCTGTGGGAATGCTGGCTATGTTGGTGGCTTCTCCAAAAAAGGTGGACATGATATTGTGTTTCTCTGTGAGCAGGGCTGGACTAGAAGTGGTACCCAAAATGTTTCCTGTTTCAGTAAGCGTTTCATACACACTTTCTTGTGCTGAGACGTCCTCAAATTCTCCCTGCATCTTTAACTGCTCAAGTTTACGTTCCTGCTCTGATATTAGCCGAAAATATTGCATTCGTTTTCCTAAAGCTGCTTTTCTTGCTTTAAGGTTAACTAAGGTGTCTATATGACTGCTGTTGCTACTACTTCGTCGGGATGTTGTAGAAATTGTTTCTTGCTTTTGCTGACTAAACTTCACTGCATATTCTTGAGCCCAGCTCTGAGTGCTCAACAATTTATCGGACAGAAATGTACGCATTTCTATGACTTCGCGAATTTCATTCTCATCTAAGGATAATTTCAACCATTCATCAAGGGCCTTGCTAACAAAATTCATTTTCCCTGATAACAATGTTATTTGTTTATTAAGTTCAACAACACCATTGAAATCTGCAATCTTTTTCTCAAAATTAAACAGTTCTTTCAAAAACTCTTCCTTGATATCGAGGGCTGCTTTTCTTTTCAACGAACAGACATATTCTCTACCTTTCTCTGTCATTTTACGCTCTCGGGTTTCCTGTGCTGTAGTTGCCTGTTCGCAGGCATCTTGTTTTGCATCGTGTAGTATAGCTTCGCTTGGCTCTACGAGCGGGTTTTCGATATTTTCGCTCGTTTCGTGACTACGAAAGCTCATTGTAGAATATTCTCGCTACTATAGACAAGTCTTTGACTGTATCTACCGTCTTGGTAGTGCAAATACGACACAGGTCTTACGGCTCGTATGGATTTATGGCCGATAACCGATCAAGCTATCTTATAGTTATAGATACACAACAACTGTGACGACAGGACTTTAAAAGTGTACTATATTTATCTTCTACGAACCGTCAAACTACAATATAAACAAAATAAGCTAAAATTACAAAAGGAAGATTCAAAATATACAGCAAAATATAGCAGTACTTACGACTTGTGTGCCGACTGTAAGCATGCCACTTGGCGAATCTAAGTTCCTAAAAGCGGGCGACTAACATGCATAGCAACCCAAGATAAACGACTGAGAGGGCGTTACACAATGCAAGAAAATGAGCCTTTGTTATTCTGCTGCTCTAAGATAGGGTGTTTTACATAAAACAAAGAATTTACAAAAAGCTCAATGCTTGTAAAACAACGCAGGTAAGGTGCAAGGGTCTCATTGCCACACAATGCAATGAAACAAGCATTGTACCGGCAGTTTCCATCTCCTGTTGTCCTAAAAGGGGGCGAAGACGGAAAACCAGGTAAGCCCATTAATGGTAATTTGTATCAGTATCAATGCTGAATTAGTTATTTATTGGTTGGTGTTCTCAACAATAACAACAGTTGGTTTATGAATGTTCACTCTCATTCAATTCAACATCAAATATTAAACAACAAGTCATATGATATTAGGCCACAGGGATTATTTAAGAAAGTAATGAGTATACAGGGTGCATAAAAAAAACTGAACCCTTTCAAATTCAAATAAGCTATAACGTATTGTAGTAATTTGACAGCTCTAATTGCTTTGAATTAATGGTTGGGTAAGAACACAAGAAATGCTGTATTTCTTTTAAATTTTCTAATTTTTATTTCTTTGAGTTTTGTCCCATGAGTACAAGACCTAGTGTTCTTATCCAACCATTCATTTAAAGCAATTAGAGCTTTCAAATTACTACAATACGTAATAGCTAACTGGAATTTGAAAGGGTTCAGTTTTATTTATGGACACTGTAGAAGACTGATGTTGACCTTTCTAATATCTCCAGGGCACCCATAATCAAAAAGTGTGCACCTCATCATTCGTGTAACATTACTTTTTTTGAGCACTTGCCCTCCGGGCAAGTTGGTCATGAAAATTAGTTGCCCTGAATAAAATTCACTTGCAATCAGACAATGGCCACCGGGGTACCGATGTAGGGGGTATAAAATAAGGGGACAACTTGCCCGTCATGTAAGGGTTTACTTGTCTGTCATGATACCGAATTCACTTGGCTGTGGCAAGCGGGCAAGTCTTAAGTTACACTTCTGCTCATCATAGCTACTCATCTGAGAAAAAATCTTTGATATTCTGCACAGTAAAATAAAATTAAAATTAGACATCCTAGTTATGCATTTAAGATTAAGGCAAAATACAGATGTTGAAGTTTTCATGTGTCGAACCAGACACGGATGAGTGCAAACACTAGATTTATGTCATTTACACTGGGTTATGAACATGGTAAGTGCAATGTTTGAGCTACAGTAAGCCGACACAAATTCCTAATACTTAATAGTACAGGATATCAAGATTCAAGAATGTGAATATAGGATTTGGGAATACTCCTATTTTTTTTACACATGCCTTCATGTGAATCAACATCAGTGAACACATGGCACCTTCACAGGAATTGTCATGATGTTGCATCCTAAGAAACCCATCGTATTTAATATTATATTTAGGTACTGTGGCCTTTTAACTGTATGTTCAGAACTTGCAAAGACAATCCTAATTGTGAAGGTGCTAATAGATATCAACAGTTTGAATGTGCCCTACTGTATCCTTTCTCAATGCAGCCTACTTTGTTAATTTTTTTCAATATAATTTCACGAAATTTCGAGTGGTGGGATGTAAACACACTACCTGCTTATAGGAAGGTAGTCGAGAGATAGTGAGCAATAAAATGGACAATCAAAATCAGCGAAGGCAGGTATCCCAGGCAATCAGTCTAACAATATCTCCGGGAATTTCTCTAGCCATATGACCACAATGATTCAGGCAGCCTTCAGGGTTTCACTCGACATCAATGGAGAGCCATGGGTTTGGGGTTAAAATTAGCAACATTATAGCAAATGACAAACTTAACACCACATCTTGGTGAAATGGACCATATCGGTACCAGGGCTGGGTTTAACAGCTGTATACAAACAACCTCATTTGACAATTTTTTTTTAACTCTGTGCCAGTGACAGTCAGTGTACATGTATGTAGTGCCAATAGTAATATATGATATTCGTTGATAGGGATGGAACTACCTTATACTTTTCTCAGGTAGTTGCATCCCTACAAATTTGACTATTGGAATTCTAAACTATTTTACTGCACTGTCGCCATATCTTATAATATCATATTACATACATTCACACAAGAGTGTTGTTTGTGCTGGTGAATAATATAAATAATTTCTATTTTTGTCACTTTAGTATTGATACAATGATTCATATACTCGACAATATATTGCAAATTATAAATCCATCTTGTGTTATTAAACTGACTGTTAACTAATAACATTTATACCGAAATACAACACCTAGAACTAACTCATACATCGAACGATTTATACACATGACAAATATCGTTTCATATTCGTCCATGATAAATCGAAATACGCGTCGTGAAAACAGACCATAGGTATTTATTAAGATACAAATATGCTAGTATATTCTAAGAGACAGAATTAACATGTGGCATCGACTCGTTATTACAATATATATTATTCATGAGGCTTACCTGACAAGAAAGTAATTTGCACAGCGCTGTTGTTCATTTTGCGGGAATTGTAGTTGAGAAAATTCGCACACGAATACTTTGCGATCTGCTTTCTTCCTCGTCTCATTCACAATAATCTGCTCACAAATATTTTTCAGAGCCGTCAATTTACTGGACTTCTCTGCGACTGAAAGCTTTTCATTCAGAATACAAAGAAGCTCATCACGAGGATCAGTCGAAGCCATGCTTGCTTTGAAGAATAGCTACGTGTTATTCACTGAACACAGATCACATCGGTCAGAAGGAAACTGTAGCATTTGCCGGATTTTGATTGGTTTGCTTCGATTGACCGTAGCAAACCAATCAGAATGCCGCATATGCAAATTTTCGCCACGGTCATATTCATTAAGGTTGAATCTGACAGTAGCGAAAATTGACCATATTTGGCGATCAAGTTACAGTATATTTCGGATGGATGCGATTTTGTGCGAGTCAACTGATCTGATATTAATACCCGTTTTTCGGGCGGAAAGGCAGTTTTTCGGGCGGAACGGCAGGTTTCACGCATTTCTTTCTGAAAGGAATAGGCCACGGTACGTAAACAGGTTGAAAACGATCGATTTAACCTGAATTGCATAAAATACTGAAATTGAAAATTTGAATGTAAACAAAATTACATCAATATACTTAAGTAATATTTTTAAATAATTTGACTGACTTTGAAAGTTTTCCTTGGAAAATCTGACCGCAGCATATGCTACAGTTGCAACGGTCTGGATCCGCCCCTGAGAAATACTGCAACGCTAAAACAGTAACCGTAAAACCGGCCGAAAACAGTTTTATTTCAGAATTTTATATAAACTGATATTTGGATATTTTGTTTTATTCATTAAAAATTTATATTAAAACAATTATTCGCCTCAGGCTCAGTGATTACGTTTCTGATGTTATTCTGAGTGTGTATCCACATCAAACAAGCTCAAAGGTTCGCCTATAACCACGGTGGGAATCTAAGCCTGGACCTTTGGAATACTTGTCCAATGCTGGTACGAGCTCAAGTCGTTCGCGAAGGTGGTAGTTTCAGAACTGAATCTAGTTTTATTGGCTTTAGACTTAGTCGGGAAAGCAGTCGTAAATAATCCAATTTCATGTGGCGGGGAATTGTGCTCGTTTCCTGGACTCTGTAGAACAATGTTCAGAGAACTCCAATAGAATCGGGTCTATTCCAGGTGGAGAGCCTAAAAGTTGCATTTTTCGCAGCTCCTCCGGTTTGGTCCAAAATTGTATATAAATTTTTGTTCGAAACTCTGCATTCAGTTATATCGAACAAGATACCCGCAATTCTGATATACCGATCAAAATTGCCAAATTCCTGCCTCGTACCTCGTTGCTTCAGTTGGGAATAGAGATCAGTGGAAAAACAATGGGAGCGCGGTGCTTAATGGGAATGCGATAGAATCTGAAGCGACTCGGAAATCCCGCATCCAAGAAGGCGTCCATTGTAATGGCCAAGATAATGCAAATAGGGAGGATTTTTTAAGGTCGTTATGTATGGCGAGGAAACGTTAAAGTATATTTCCTGTTTATTGAAGAACGGTACGAAGGTATATTCATTTACATTTTACATATTTTACGCCAAAAAATGTATCAATTGTCGCAATTTATTAATATATGTGGATATTTAAAAATATCAATCTTATTTTGACTGTTGTTGAGTGTAAACATTATATTGGCAGGGAGTTCTTGGTTCGACGTTTCTGGAGAAGGAACGTTATTTCCATATTTGGCCAAGATCCGAAAGAAGTTGCCAAAATATACGGAATGTTTCTTTTGCACTCTGTCAAAGTCAAACTAAAGACATACGCTGATCAAAATAATCCCTGTCGAATCTCAGGTAAAATATTGTTAAATTATAAAGTTTGTTCGTTCACTGCAACCAGGTATATCAATCATGTTTCGCTCGCTACTCAACAATTTTATAGCCTTTGCTCCATGTGCAGGTAGCAAGGTTAAGGATGCCATCTTGAATATATTGTTAATTGTTTTCACCATTGTGTTTGCATAATTGCATCTCTTGCAAATTTACCTATAGGGAATATGAATGCCAGGCGTGCACGTTTGATGAACAAATTTAAATTTCAAGGAATATTTTTATGTATGCTCAAGTGAAAAAAACTTTTATTGACCGATTTGTGCATCAGGTGATATCACTTATATCAGCCTTTTCAGTTCTAAGAAAATTTGGGAAATTTTTACCCCTTTTGTTGATTTTTATGGATAATTTTTTTAAAGAAATTTCAAAACTTTCTGCCATTCCCAGGATCCAACACTATTTCCAGGTCTGCCATTAACCACCCCACACTCTCCCACTCACAAATAAAACTGTCTGGCATTAGACAGGAATACATTGTGGCACAATGCAGTTTATGACATACACCACAAGTTTTCTAGCCTGTGCAAGGGACGAAAAATCATCGTCGCATATGTGCAAATG